GCATTGATTTGACTCTGGCACTGGCATTCATAGTTAGAAGCTCTGAGCTGGCAGAGCGGTCCGACCCAGGTTTAGTATGTGGTTGTTACCGAATAGATCAAGTACAGTCTGGCGGGCTCGAGGTATCAGCCCGAGCAGGAACTTGTACGCCTGCGGGAGGTGCAGATAGAAGCCAACGCCTTGGTGCCCACCCAGGGGAGAACTCCGCCTGATAAAGTACAAGTGCGAGGTAGGCGCACTGCAGACCTTTACACAACCCACGGCAGCTAGCAATGGGCGAAGCATAACAATGCTGGATGCAGAGAAATGTCTTGGCGAAGTCGAGTGGTGTGAATGGGGAATGGTGTGTAGGCTTTCAGGTTTGCCGGCTGAGTGGTGTGCCCGTATGAAGTGTGCTGGCAGAGTGATGGAATTTGGATGATCAATATTGTATATAAGGAAATGAACATGATTGACGAACATCTAAGGTGATGAGCATGGAGATGACGAACACGAGCGATGACGAATACGAGGGATGACGAACACGAGGGATGACGAACACGAGGGATGACGAACACGAGGGATGACGAACACGAGGGATGACGAACACGAGGGATGATGAGGGACGAGCATGCTAGGCCGCGAACGTGTGAGCAACGAACATGTGGATGGCGAACATTTGGCGTACACGATGAGTTCCGAACATGAATGACGAACACGTTGGCTGGGAGTGTTGCGCACAGTGGGCGCCATTGAAAATGCCCGCGCGGCGCGTGTGCTTGCAGACAAGCTGCTGGGCAAGTGCGTGCTGGGCTCGTACATGTTCGCCCGAGGCAAGGCGCTGGCCCACTGGAACCAGGCCATCGCGTCGCCCATGGAGCAGGTGCAGCAGTGGCACGTGCTCTCGGAGTAATCGCCCGCCGCCCACCGGCTCCGGCAACCGCCGGCTTCATCTAACGCTCCCGGAACATGGTCAGGTAGTAAGGTTGACTTGTGTAAAGAAGAAAGACTCCTTGTTGTTGCCAAGCTTTAATTTTTGTATTTTCATTGAATGTATTTTATTAAAAAATATTATTATTATTGAATCTGAAACATTTTAGTGACACATTTCGTTTTATTATTAAAAAAATGTTAGTTATAATTCATTTATTTTATTTTTACCGTAAGAGTTGGCAATAGAGTTTCTTCGTCCTCTTGGACTGGTTGTTGTGGAGACCAACGTGGGGAAATGCTCTGAAGGCTGTAGAATTACTAACGTCCCTAAATTAGTATTTGATGAAATAATTGTATTACCTACGTAATTAAAAGAATTATTGCATTACATGATGATAGGTACTGATGTAAATAGTGAGTGAAGTTGCCTTTAACGACAGCGCGTGATTTTATCAATTTAATGAAGTATTGTCAAAGAAAATTAATTTTCTTTATGTAACTAGACCTTTCCGTGATATTTTCGGTGAGTTGGTACTGTTGCGAGAAACGTTGTTGCAGAATCACTCTAGTGTGGTTTTATTTAACCACGTACATCTAAATGTGCTGATGTAAGTAATTCTTCTTAGGCTTAAAAACGCTTCTTTAGGCTCATCATCGAAATTGTCTATTAATATACTCGCATTATTACTAGGCATATTGTAATTGTGTTTGAAACATACATAATTTTATTTGATGAGACTGAAAGGGGACTAAACTATTTATATTACATTGAGATTTCATAATATTAGTTCTCCATGTTTGTTTCCATACAAAGTACAGTTTGTATTGCCACATTCATTATTATTTTATTTTATTGTATTGTGTTCGTTTTAAGTAAATATGAACATGTAATTAAATTATTAATAAATTATACTATTAATTTAATTGCAAAACGCTCTAAGCTAACACTACGAAGTCCACCCCATATACAAATTGGTTTTAGATGTAATCAATATCCACCTTAAAAATACTCGTGCTTTGAGATATTAATATTGGTCTTCGACCAATTAAACCAGACTTTAGAAATGTATTTATAGTAATGACTAACAACATAATCCGGTTCATATAACATTAGTTGCAAAAATTGATACTACATGCAGCCAATCAACCATCGTTTTTGTAGGCTTATTGCCTCAGCGATTCTGAAAGTTTGAAGGCTGTGTTAAGTTTTTCGATATTTATGTAGTGGCTTCTCTACGGAAATAAATTGACCTATGCCCAAAACATAATTTATAAAACCGTATACCTAAAAACTTTCAAACGAAAAGACGTTTGAATGAGATATGTCCTTCCGTTTTATCTCGTGGTTTTCTTAACATCTCTGTTTTGGACATTCGTGTTTTTATTTTCAAGAAAAGAATATAAAGATGCGCATCTGTGAAGGTATATAATACATGCCCATAGGTGCCTATTAGGTACACACCAAGTGTAGTCTTCTATTTCATGGGCTTCTCGTAGCGTCCTTATGACCTGCAATGTACCAGTTATTCTAAACCCACAGTCTGGAAAGTGTTCTTCAGAGGTTGGTCATTTAGATTGAGATTTAAGGTACAAAAATTTGAATCATTCTACCACGCATGAGTTTTCAAGGAAAAGGAGTTAATACCTTTTCCTCTGAGTTTTCAACAGTTCATAAATGAAAATGACTGGAATAATTACATATTAGTGAATAATAATTAATTACATCTAGTTTAGAAAAACAACGCTTTAAATTTGATAACTCCAATAAATAATGATAAAGCATGTTATAATATCAGTTCACATTGGTGTGATTAAGAAATTAGAATTTTAAAAGACAATTTATGTACTAGTATTAATTTTACAAATATATTTTTGTTATTAAATATAACTATTTTATTGAAAGAGTATACTACTGATGGTAATAAATAAGCGTGTTTATAGGACCACGAGAGCGTATTCCACTTTAAATGGTTGCTGGAGAGAAATGTATATTAAATTACACGTACATGTCTGTTTATCACATAGAATCGATTAAAAGATGCGGTCACGAGTATTTCAATGGGAATTCAAACAGACTGTTCCAGTGTTGGATTGCCGTACATATCCATTTACTATCCCCTCTTGCACATACACGTTTTTTTACTTTCTAACCCTTACAAAGGAACTTTTTGAGTCGCACAGTTTTTTACTGCAAACTAAGGTATCATTACGCATATATTTTGTTGACTGTGAAGGAGAATATGTTATCGTATCAAAATACGTCGCATATTTCTGGATTTTTGACAGCAAATAAGAATTCCGTTCCTGCAACTGGGACCACAACAAATACTTTTCCCTGCGTCTGGAAGAAAAACGTGATAAACTAACAAACTGAAGGATAAAGTGATATGTTCCCTGATGAAAATAAGCAAAATCAAAATATCATAAAACGAAACCTTGATCAATTTAATAAATGCCATCATTAATGAATTTTTATTATTGATGTGTTATTAAGAAACTATTTAGTTGCTTTATTAATCATTAACCCCTCGACATCAACTGATTTATACGTTTACTAAGGCTTCCGCCGCCGCAGTCACTAGATACTCAGCTGAACGTGAGGCATAATAGCAGTTTTTTCCTTCATTGGAAACGTAAATAATGTTGCGGCCCATCATTGGCCCGTCACTCCCCATCTACCACGTCCTACGTCACAATCACAGGACCTTTAGAATTAGAATTGCCTTGAGGTGCTTCCTGTGAAGGCAAAAAGTGGCTTCCCATCCTGATATTCACATCTTCGCGGGTTCGGTTCTTCATCGTAATGAATTTTTAATGCAATTTTCGTTGAAAATGATGCGTTGCTCAGACTCGAGTTTATTTTATATAAATCGTAAGAGGTCGGAACCTCACAATCAGCTTGAAAATGAGCGAGCAGCCGCGTGTCAACTTGGTCGTAAAAGTGCTGTGTAAGCCTAACGTGGTTGATGGATTGATGGTTGGAGACGTATGAAACCGCTGAAAATTATTATTATTATTATTATTATTATTATTATTATCCTTATTATTATAATCATTATAATTATTATTATTGTGTGTGTGTTTCGCGCTTCGAGCTCTAGGAAATAACTATTTAATTCAAATTTTTTGCGCCCGGCAATTTTCAGATACTAACCTATGACGAGTCGTTATTTCCTTCATTTCAATAATGCCCTCATTTTTCATGGCGAGGCTCAGGCCATCAGGCCTGTTGTTCCTCCTGGTCACCCAAATTTTGCTACGCTCCTTTCGCCATCTATCGGGGAAAGGAGGTATTACTCGGGCGACGAAACAGGCGATTTGAATTTAGCTCAGAGGCGTCTTTTTGGCTTGGGGACCTTTTACAGGCAGAATATCCACATGGGACCGCCGGTTTTACGTCGCCTCCAAGGGAACGCACGAAGGATATTTTCGCCTCTAAAAGTCCACGGCTTTGATGGAATTTTAACACGTGACCTTGGGTATAACAGTACGAAACGCTAAGCGTTAGACCTCCGACCAAAGACTCCTACAGGCCGGTGCAAAATATCCGTAGCCTACGAGGAATGTCCGCAGCGGAAGTTTCGTGTCACGTGATGGCTTATGAGAATGTCCAGACCTGCGCGGCAGGCGGGTGTCGCGGCAGCGGATTGGCAGTGGCTTATTACCTGCCGATTTTGGAACGCAGTCGGACGCGTTTTGTCCGCTGCCGCTCGAGTTTCGCAGTGAAAACCAACGCAAAGACTCGTCAGATGCCGTATATTTTCAGCTCACCAGTGAATCTCACACGACTGAATGGTCAGAAAAAATACATTGAATCGTGTTCAGTGATTTAATTAATTTTAAATAACAGTAAACTTTTTTGTTCTTAAAATGTTGTTCATTTTAGTAATGAAAAGTTTCAATATATTTATAATTCTATTGAAAGTATAGAATTGATAGATGAATATATAGGAAATATATTGAATTAATAACAAGTCGTTTTTCAGGTGAGATAGCTTCGAGATTGTTAAGAGTCTAATTTTCTTGTGACTTCTCCGATCAAATTCAAAATTTCATCAAAACATTAACAGATTATTCTAGGAAATATAAAAGCGTTTCTCGTCCTTTGTGTCATCAAGACACCAAATTTTCCGAACTTTTTTTCTTTCTAAGTCACAATCATGGACTCGTTCTCCTCGTTTCCTAAACAGAAATTAACAATTGATGGAAAATCGTAGATAAAGAAGGTACAAACACCATTCTGCATGTTCTCAGAAACGTACTAAGAGAATTAGCATTTTCTATCTCGTGCGAGAATAGTAACCCGAAAAATAATTATCCAGGATCCGTTAGCATTGAGAGACGTTTCTGAGTTACCTACATCAATCTGAAGAAACTACACATGTTTGTCTTATAATATAGGGCCCGTCTGCGTTTTGATTTGTTTTCTTTTGACAAAAACAAGAATTGATAAGAAAATAGATCCGTTTTTCTTTTGATTTAAAAAAGAATGCTTTCGATGTCGACGAGATGAAGAACATAGATTTTAAGCCAAGTTGTTACAAATTAGGAAAACACATTGGTAGCTTATTAAACCTAACCAACGTTTCTTTATTTCCTTTACATATCCAGAATGAAAATATTGAGGTTTCTTCGGTTGTTTTACTTGCGATAACTTTACAAGCTACTCGGCGGCAAAAATAGCCACGCTCTAGGGAGTGAACTGTAGTAAATACAATTTCTGTCTCTCATTCCAATTATTAAAGTGAATCATTATCTGTTCGTTCAACATGTTGCAAAAAACATATCCTCCGAATACACTTACCAGATAATGCATCTGTATACCAAAGACAACGATGTGGAAGGATACTTCCGAAAATACAGGAAAGTAAGCACCATTAACACTTTGGATATATCCATTATAATCTCGCTCTCATAACAAACTTTTGCAACATAAGTACCTCTTTCCATCATCGTACCTTTTTGAGGAGTTTTGATAGATCGCGTCAGGTTTTGTCATGAACAGTTTGTAACTTCTGTTTTCGCTGATCATTTAGTCATTTTTTCGAAGACTCCTTTGTTATTCGATAATCATATTAGTCGTGTTAATTATATCTGAAATATGTGTGTTATATATCATATCTGTTATATGTTTATCATATCGTGTTAACTATTCATTTTTTTGATAGAAAAGTTTTATATTTAAGTCGGCAGGTGGCTGATTCTACCATCTAAATAGCTGAATTGAAGACGACCACCACCATGATGAGGATAATCACTCTGGTCCATAATTGCTGTAATTTCCTGTTCTTAATTCCAGACGAATGCCGGAGAACGAACCCTGTCAAAAGGACTTCGGACTACGCGCAATCTTTCCTTCCTCTTCCTTGCCCTAGCCTCACCTCTCACACTCAATTACACCAACACTCACTATACAACCGCACATGCCGCGAGTCCGGAGGGGAGTTTGCAGCTTCTCCCTGTAGGGGCAGTGCCCTGCTGATGGGAGATACCTGGTTGGGGAAAATCCCTCTAGCCGACGATTAGTCGCCACCGGATCTCGCTATCTAGCAGGGGAATATCATCGCCAACTCCCGAGGGAGACAGTGCACTACAATTACGGGACTAATGACCTTAGCAGTGGACGCGCACGGAATCAGTAATCAAATCAAATCAACGAAACAACGGGTCACTGACTATGCGTCATCCTTCCTCACGTATCCTTCCCCACTTTAAATGTTTAAGATAGAAGCGATGTGGTAATCCTTCAGTCTCATTTGGCCCAAACCTC